ACTTGCTTCCTTTGAAAATCCTCTGATGTCAGTGATAAGGAATGGATTCTGAAAAAACAAACTGAGCTGTTCTCCCAGAGTGAAACTGTCAAAACGCTTCCCAAAATTGGTAATCAGTTTTTCCACAAAATCAACAAAACTGGACTTGTCACCCCTGATTTGTTCCTTGACAGCAGGGAAGTGTGTGCAGTCTCCCTGCAGGTCTCCTTTAAACAGCTCCAGCTTTCTCTGGAATGCATGGACATCTGTCATCAGATCACAGACTGAATGGTCCTTGCCTTGTAGTTTTAAATTCAGTTGATTCAGGTGTGATGTGATATCAACCAAGAATGCTACATGATCCATCTTCTCCATATCCCTCAGAAACAAAAGAAATGGCGTTGCCTTTTGGCTCTTAAGTTGTCCCAAGAAACTTTCGATTTCTTTTCTAATGGACCAAAAGCGCTCCAACACTCTGCCTTTACTGAGCCATCTAACATTATTGTGGAGCAGGAGGTCATCTGCATTTGCTTCAACTTCTTTGAGGAACTCTCTGAGGAGACGATGTTGCAGAGAAGAAGATGCCCGGAGAAAGTTAATCATTTTCATCATTGTGCTCATCACATCTGCATACTGATCTGAAAGTATGGCACATAGGACTGATTGGTGTATTATGCAATGGTAAGAGATAAGTCCAGGGTGGTCTTCTCTCATTCTTGCCACAGCTCCCCTTTCTCTCCCTAACATGGTTGGAGCTCCATCTGTTGTTATTGAAACAACTTGTCTCACATCTATTCCCCTTTCTGTTAACATCTTCTTTATTGCTTTGTAGATGTCTTCTCCTCTTGTGTTGCTCTCCAGGGTTGCTACTCCTAACAGGTCCTCAAACATTTTCTTTTCCTCTTTGTTAAAAAATCTTACAAAAACTACAAGCTGGGCATTGTCAGTTCTATCAGTGGACTCATCTACAGCCAAACCTATGCATTCTGCCTTTTTAATCGCTTCATCAAGCTGTGCCAGTACATCACGTGTTACAATTTGTGTTTTATGTGTGGCTGATGAAGCTGACAGAGGAATTTGCTGTATTTTTTGACAGAGCTCTTCTTTTTGCTTTCCATCAAGTAATGTCTCAGTAACTGCACTCATACATTCTTTGACAACCATTGCATCGCTGAATGACTTTTTGTGTTGACCCAATATCCACGCAATTCTCAGAGAACACTCATTAGCGCGTTGCTGAGCAGTGAATGTTTTGACCATAATCCTGGAGGACCGAGCATATTGTGCCTTTAAATCGGCTATTTTCTGCGACCGTATGGCTGAGCTCGGGGGATATGTGTGGGAAAACGTGGAGTGCTTCGTCTCATAGTGCCGCTTTATATTGCTGCTTTTGATGAGAGCGACAGTCTCGGAGCAAATGAGACACACGGGTTTTGCGCTCAGCAGGTAAAACGAACAAGTACGTGTCAGTCCATTCTTGTTTAAAAACTCTGTTTTCCGCGTCTACCTTCCTCTGTTTTGAGCACGCCATTTCACTTTTCTCTCGCGTGTTCGCGCTGCTGATCACTCTCCGTCTTCGCCTGTTTCGCTGCCTGCTTCTCTCTGACTTGCCGGTGTTTAAAAATAGCTAGCACTGGCAGCAGCACTACGCGCCACACAGTTCATTGGCTGACCGAATCACGTGTGGCCCCTGGCTGAAGGGACGCCCCGCCCGGTCGGCCCTCACCAACACCAGAAGGAGCGGCGCAAAATGAAGTTAGAATAGACGCGGTTGGAAAGCCTGCATTATTATTATTAATATTTTTAAAGCAGGTTTGGGCCCGGATCGGATGGGTTGGGGGTCCGGATCCGGACCGAGGTCCGCCGTTTAACGACCTCTGGCCTAGATCAATGAGATAGATTAGAACCAACAGAGATTCAAAAGCATTTAAAAGCATTTTGATGCATTTGGGTATAGCACAAAAACAAAAAGTAGACATTTAGATATTGAGAAGTTTCCAGCACAGATTAGAGAATCAAACACCATTGTAGAATAATAACTGACCCCAACCCCAAACCTGCTAAAATAGATTAGCTCTTGTAAGGATAATACTAATTTGATTAATGATGTACAATCATCCCAAACTGCCTGATAGGAGGAAGTGACAGCACTTCCTGGTTCAACAAATGTATTTGGAAAACTGACCGCCATAATAATGTGCCACTGATAAGGAAAGTAAACCACAGAATAGAGAGATTTGTTGGATTGAAATGTATGTTTAAGAATGTGGCTCAATGGAAGCAAATATGCAAACATATTTGTAGGTGGATTGGAATAGTTTTAAACTATAGTGAATAGTAAAAGTAAAGTACACAGTGTAAGATTGAATAGTGAAAATAATACAGTGAAATAAGTGAAGTGTAAATAATTAGCATTAGAATAAAAGTATAGAGTAAGAAAAGTGAAATTAGCTTCAAATTTGAGACTCAGCTCGTTTTTGTCTGTGTTTTGACTGAATCTGCTGAGTTCTTGTGTGTCCAATAGAGTTTGTTTTTGTTTGTTTTTATTTTTGATTTGTTTTGATTTGTTTTTTTTTTGTTTTTTTTGTTTTTTTGTTTATTTATTTACTTTGTTAGAAAATGTTAGGCAACAAGCTGAACAAGCAAACCAAACAAACTGCATAATATGTCAAACAGCTAGACCAAAATTAATGTTATCTCACTAACTAGAACAAAATTTAGAGAGAGAGAGAGAGATAGGAGTTAGTTTTTCAGCTGGGGAAGAGAAAGTTGAATAAGAGGGGTAAAAAATACATTGGGAAGAGATTTTACAAGAACGAGTTGAGTATGTGTGAAGAAAGTCTAAAAAATTAGCAAGAATTATAGAAAAGTTTAACACCAGGTTTAGAAAACTTGTTTTAAAAAATTATATTGTATTTTTCAACAGTCATATAATCTGATGATTATGTGGCAAGGTGGAGGGCCTGAAGGCTTCGAAAATAATGACAAATTAAATAAAAGAAAGAAAAACCAGCAACGCCAGGGCAAAGTGCCCAAAATAAAATATAAAGCGCTCTAAGGCGCACAGGTTCGTAAATCATAAAGAGGCATAGACATTACGTTACTAGGATTTATTATGTTATGTTTAGGTCAGTTCTTTTCATTCAAATGGGTTCTGTTACATTTCATTTCATTTATATTCACAAGCACACATCATCCTGTCACGAAGGACTCAGGAGCACAGGTGAACACACGACCAGAAACACGGAAGAACAAGGAGAGAAACAAGGGACAGCAGGAGAAACAGCGGTGGGCCGCGGTGTGGCCAGTCCTCAGCCTACGAATTAAAGTAGAGTTAAATTATCATAACCACAATGCCGTCAGTGTGTGCAGCTAAGACCTACATTTCCACAGCCAACACTGAGCGCGCACTCTTGACGAGTAGCGGTTTACAGGCCCAGACCCACAGCCGGCTACGACGCACTCGGACCCCAGCAATGAGGGCGGCCAGACACCAAAGCGACTGGACAGTGTGGACGTGCACAAGGAGGACTCGCGGGGCACAATGCCACACCGCGGCACTACAACAACAAGTCAACATTAGTGGCTGAATCTTACAATTAAAATTGACACTAAAACTACTACCTGGAGCAGGACAAGGGCTGGCGCGACGACACACAAGAGACGGAAGTGCAGAGGTAAACAAAAGACGTAAATCTAGGCTATTTATACTGGGCGTAGGCGCCCTCTACTGGACAGAAATATGGTGGCCAAGTCCAGCTTGCCACATTCATCCCCCCAAAGTTTTGACGACGCCCCGACGTCAACTAAACTCACACGCAACTCTCAAATATAGCGCTATCACTCATACAATGACCGGTCATGACACACGCATCTAAAAGCTAAAAACCAGGACTGTGGGTTTGAGCCACTAAGAGACACATAGCTGGTCTAGGTGGGTTTGAGCCACTACAAGACCCTGCAGCCCCAAGCTTAAAAACACAATTTAAAAAGTCAGTTTCTACTACTGATAACGCAATGAGACAACCAATGTTTCAATTCTATTGCCGTGAAGGCCAGAAAAGGAGGCCCTGAAGGCTTAGGAAGTCCAATGCAAGTTTCTCAAACCAAGCCTACCTGCTGCACCAGAAGTGCTCCTGGCCACACAGGTGAACAACGGGTGCGCCTTAAGCGCTACGTGAGGAATCTTTCATCTCACTACACCGCAGTCCGGGATTACACCACAGGAGACTTAAATTACAGGTGTGCAGGATCCACGAGGCTTCATACTAGGTGACCATCTGAACTCCCGTCCCATCAAGCCACAACTATACTGCTTCAACCACCGCTGCCTCTCCTTCACAAAACAAAACACAGAATTTAAAAGTGTAATTTGACACATTACAGCAATAGGCAGTAGCTTAGCAAATATTCATATGCGAGTGTTCTAGCCATATCATTTCTTATCCGAGTTTACATTTTCAAAACAAAGCATGCACAAATCAAAAAAACACCACACAAAAAGTGCACATCAAAAAACAAAGACAAATAATAAACACAAGACAAAACAATGACAGGTTTTAAGTCACATAAACCAAAAAGCTAATGCTACTGAAATTAGCTGTACTAAGAGAAAATGCCTCATTTTAATGATTATCCTGCCAGCGAACGCCAAGTGTGGCAAGATGGAGGGCCTGAAGGCTTCGAAAATAATGACAAATTAAATAAAAGAAAGAAAAACCAGCAACGCCAGGGCAAAGTGCCCAAAATAAAATATAAAGCGCTCTAAGGCGCACAGGTTCGTAAATCATAAAGAGGCATAGACATTACGTTACTAGGATTTATTATGTTATGTTTAGGTCAGTTCTTTTCATTCAAATGGGTTCTGTTACATTTCATTTCATTTATATTCACAAGCACACATCATCCTGTCACGAAGGACTCAGGAGCACAGGTGAACACACGACCAGAAACACGGAAGAACAAGGAGAGAAACAAGGGACAGCAGGAGAAACAGCGGTGGGCCGCGGTGTGGCCAGTCCTCAGCCTACGAATTAAAGTAGAGTTAAATTATCATAACCACAATGCCGTCAGTGTGTGCAGCTAAGACCTACATTTCCACAGCCAACACTGAGCGCGCACTCTTGACGAGTAGCGGTTTACAGGCCCAGACCCACAGCCGGCTACGACGCACTCGGACCCCAGCAATGAGGGCGGCCAGACACCAAAGCGACTGGACAGTGTGGACGTGCACAAGGAGGACTCGCGGGGCACAATGCCACACCGCGGCACTACAACAACAAGTCAACATTAGTGGCTGAATCTTACAATTAAAATTGACACTAAAACTACTACCTGGAGCAGGACAAGGGCTGGCGCGACGACACACAAGAGACGGAAGTGCAGAGGTAAACAAAAGACGTAAATCTAGGCTATTTATACTGGGCGTAGGCGCCCTCTACTGGACAGAAATATGGTGGCCAAGTCCAGCTTGCCACAATTACAAACTAAAATAATCAACAGAGAGGTAGCGACTTGCGCCTCTACATTAAATATTGATTTGTGATCACATGTGGATGTGATCAAGAGAGGGACTGTGAATATTTAATTATTATTTGCTTGCTGAAATGTCATGTTGAGCAGTTCAGTAGAGTTTGGGAAGCGTACACTGTACTTTAAACTGCTTACAAAAGCATGGAGCAGATAAGGTGTTGATGTACATAACATGAGATAATGCTATCTCATGTACATTGGAGTTTGGTCCATTACGAAAACATAGTTATATCATAGTTGAACATTGAAACCATACGCTCTCTTCTGCATAGTCATGCTACCAAAGTCTATGCTTACATAATCATTTTAAGTGTATATAAGTAGCCACTCTTCATCTCTACATCCAGACTTCTGCAGCCAGACGGGAAGCTGCGTTGTGCTTGATCCGAATACGCTCAAACCTTCTGATAATAAAAACTCTATTTTGCAGTTTTGTCGAAGTCTCTTTTTGTCTTGCGTCTGGGTAGATTCACAATATCTCTGGATTTGTAGGTCTTAAATACTGCTCAAAAAGCCTTTAGCTCAGATGCTAACTGTGTGTTTACTTTTAAAAACACATCCTCTGTTATTTGCTAGCAAAGAGCTTTGGCAGTAAAAAATCCGCTGAACTCCACAAAAACATGGCAAAGATGTACAACAACATCTTGCAAAACAATGCGGATCACAAAAACTGCAAATGCAGTTTGCAGAAAACGGTAGAAAAGGGTAGAAACGTCACCTTGTCAAGAGAGAGAGAAGCCGCAGCATATTCATGCGCCGCCATGGTAACAACCTAATATAGAAATATTGTACTATATTGTATATACATATCTGCTTTTACCTTGTACAGCACTTTGTGATTTTTATCTGTGAAAGGTGCTCTATAAATAAAATCTACTTACTTACTTACTTACTAGAAATGCAACCAGGTAGAGAAGAGCCAAGTAGAGTAGAGTAACGCTGGTGGAAACGTGACCTAATTGATGCCACATAGGGAAGTGCTCATGGACAAAGTTTTGCTCCAACTCGCTCTGGCTCCACATGAAAAAAAGTAACCTCTTCTAGCTCAGTTTCTGTTTGTGTCACATTCACCATAGTGGGCTTTAAAAATCCATGGTCTAGTGCTCTCTGTCTATCATTTGTTTTTGTAAAGACAATATTAAGTTAGAGATTTTATAGAGTTGCTTTTTTATTATGCTAAAGTTGGAGATGTTTGTTTTAGTATGGAGTTATTATTAATTTATCTTGTGCTGTGTGCACCACGTTCCGTCTGTTCTGTATTTGATGATGCAACACTGACATTTCCCCACTGTGGGATGAATAAAAGGATCTCTTCATCTTAATCTTAAGATTGGCACAGTGGCTGGGTGGATAGCACTCTCGCCTCTCAGCAAGAAGGTCCTGGGTTCGAATCTTGCATGTTCTCTGCGTGTCTGCGTAGGTTTTCACCAGTTTCCCCTACCACTAAAAACATGTGCAATAGGTCCGGCATGCACCATCTGTACTGGCAACCCCACTCTCTGTGTAGAGTGAGAGACAAATGCCCATGATCGTAAAGCACTTTGTGATTCTGGTCTGTGAAAGGCAGTATATAAATAAACATTACTATACTTGCTAATAATTATGGCAGATAAATTAGCCTGGACTCATAGAGCTAAAAACACTGTCAGTTTTGTGATGAGGAATCAATGTAAGATTGTTCAATGTACTTTTTACTTGTAATGTAGGGCAAAGGAATACAATTTATAATTATTATTCAAATCTGATTGGTCCTTGTTGGTAAAAGTAAACCGTCTCTCCCCAGTGTGACCACAGTGTGATGTCTGCTTCGCTCACTGAACATCGAGGACAAGAGTCTGAGGCCAAAGGCAAAGTCCTGCTCTCTATTACTCATCCTAAAGCAGCCTCTCTCCGCACCACCGGGGGCAGCGCGTGGCAAAAGTGCTTATCCGGACGCAGCAGACGTAATATACTCCAATGTTTTCCCGGTTATTCATTCCTACAAGCATCAAACATTCAATTGCAGTTTTTTTTCTTCATTTTTTTGGGTGAGAAGGGGCTCTGTGGAGAATGAATGGAGGGTCTGAGGACAGTGGTGATGATCAACACTCGACATTCAACAACATTTATGGACATTGGTCATCTGCCCCTTATGGACCAATGGCTCTGCGTGTTTTTTATTATTTTTATCAAACGTTTTATTTTTCCGTTAAATGGAGAAAAATAATGAAAATGTTGTAAAACAGGAAAATAAGGAAGATTTAAAGCCGCAAGCGGCGTCTAATAGCCTTGCCACAACGCGCAAAGGAGCTGGCACTGACACGCCATCTTCCTGCAGCCCAGATGGGAGAAACACTGCTTATTATACTGTATACAGTGAAAAAGAGAGAACCACCCTCACTCAGCCAATCAGATCACAGGGTTTTATTCTAATATGACAAAATGAAGAGAGCATTTTAGATTCTGATTTCAGATCATGAGCATATGAACTATTTTCTAATTAAGAATGTTAAATAATTTATTCTTCATTTCACAAGTTTTATTTTGTTTCATTGGAACCTGCCCTTCAACTAAAGAACGATTCAATTCTACTTATTTGTGTATTGTCCTCAATCACAACAGTCGTTATCTCGAGAATGTTACAGAGTTGTCCATTCGGCTCAAAATACAGTCAGGCTCATGCTTTCTCTTGTCTTCAAAGGGATTCACTTGATCTGACTCTGAAACAGCTCTTGTAATTTAGATAATAGATAATGATATATATAAATAATTAAGAAGAAGAGAACTCAAACTGTGCTTCCACTCGGATTTAAAGGAAATGTACAAAATGTTTCAGACTCATGCTGTGTGCTCTGCAAGTCTTTTAAACTCACTGGAGAATACTTTAAACCTGGTAACTACACATGATCAGGTCAGAATGTGCAATAGACTGGGGAAGACTAGGATGAAGATGAAGAGATCCTCTAATGTCCCACAGTGGGGAAATGCCAGTGTTGCATCGTTAGTTACAGAACACACAACATAAGACAAGTGAACTTTAGCATAATGGAGAAGCAAGTAGAAAATCTCTAACTTAAAAAAATGTGTATGTACACATTGTTATCTTAAAACAGTAAAGAATTCCAGTGGACATTAAAGCTGAGGCCCCCAACTTTCAAACAACACAAACAAATCATGTCATGTGAGTCCACAGGAGGGGAGATCTTTCAGCGGGAGCTTCAGGCAAAGTGGGGTTAAGTGTCTTGCCCAAGGACACAACGACAGCAGTCATCAGTGGGAGTCGTGAAGTAGGTCTTATGGTGGGCTCGAACCCACGACCTTCAGGCTCAAAGGCCAATGCTCTACCAACTGAGCCACTGTAGATGTATTTTTTAATTTTTGTATTATTAATTTGTATCCTGTTGTTTTATGGACACAAGTTTGATATCTACAGGAGGGGCTTGCCTACACTGCAAAAAGTGATAAAAAAGTGCTAAGGGTTAGGGTTAAATTGGAGCACATTTTGACCGCCTAAAAACAAGATTTGCAAATGGATCAAAACAAAAGGATCTTGTTTTTAAAAGATACAAGAAATGCCTCCCTTGGAATGAGGAAATAAAGCAACGGATCTTGAAATAAGACAAAATGGTTTACGAATGCGAACATACTCAAATTAGTATTAAAAAACACATGATTTTTATCAGTTATTACGTCGTATTTCGTCATTTTGTTGCAGTGTAGCAGTGTTTTATCAACAGCGAAATACAAAGGGTAGAGACTCTCTCCTCTGCGGTGTCCTTCCCTCCTGGATGAGGTGTAAATGATGTCTCAGGTCTCAGGTGAGTGCAGCATATGTACTTATCTAATTTATTTAAAAGCTTCTCTGGGCTTGGAGCCAGACTCGGTAGCCTTCTGCCAAAACCGGTGTAGCATCATGATCTGATATTATTTAGAGACACCACAATCATCTGCAGTACGCCTCATTACTCGGGGGTGAGAGGTGCTGGTCGGACACGGCGCTGCTTGGCCCACTTTAGAACACCGCCTTTATATGAATTACAAGTGATTTAGAGCAAGGAACAAACTTGTGTTGGAGGCCAAGCCAAAATCTAAAAGAATGGACAAAATCAGAAAGATGTATTATAGAAAAATCAGGAAATTCTAGTAAAAACAGACAACTAAACAATGGTGAAAGTTTTTGTGTGAAAAAGTGGCTGAGTGGTAAGCACTCTCGTTTCTCGGGAACAAGGTCCTGGGTTCGAATCAAAACCTTTCTGAGTGGACTTGCCTCGCCTTTTACAACTAATTTTATGTGTTTGATCTTTTGTTGTGCGGCACGCTGGCAGAGTGGTTTGCCCTCTCGTATCTCGGTTCTGGGTTTCACCCGTGGTCGGAACAAGGCGTTTTTTGCATGTTCTCCCAGTGTCATACAGATAATCACATGTATGGTAAAATCATGATAACAGAAAGAGTGTATACACTGCAGAAAGTGAGGAAAAATGAGGCAAAAATTGCCAAAATTTGGCAAAATGTATCTTAATTTGAGCACATTCTGACTGCCTTAAAACAAGATTTACCAATGGAACAAAGCAACATTATCTTGTTGTAAAAATATACAAGAAATGTCTCCCTTGGAATGAGAAAATAAAGCAACAATTTTTGAATTAAGACTAAATGGCTCTGTCCCATTGGAGAATCTCGATTTAACTCAGTCAGAATGTGCTCAGATTTTTTGCAGCGTACCTCCCCAACCTGCTCATGTATCCTTTGCAGAACTATCTTCAGAAGTGCAATCCAAATTGCTCATATTTGTTTGTTCCATAAGACGAGACACTGGACGATTACAGTCGAATGCGCATGTTTTCAGTGCTCATAGGAAACTCAAGGACAGAGGAAGAACATGCAAATGCCTCTCTCAGAGCAATAAGAGAATAAAAGCTCTAGTTCGTCTTAGTAACAGCTGATTGTGGCGTTGGAATGCAGTCTCTATAGGAGTCTGGTCCGCTGTCTGCAGAAGTGAAGTTCATGATTCACTGAGTTTATATAATTATTAGCAGCACAGTGACTGGACTCGTGAAGCACTGACCTTGAACTAACGCTGGGGTTTCTGGTGTGAGCAAAACGCCGCCTCAGCTCGTTTCCTCTGCTCAGTTTCACACATGGTTAAATACAAATAATCTGGTTTGATATGAAACAAAAACAGCAACATTTCTTTGAGCTTTACAAAATAGGATAGAATAAAAAACAAGAAGCAACATCTGTTATATGCTGAGATACACTATACATATATTTTTGTATCGGCCTTAAATCATTACAGTGGTTATCTCAAAAGGACTTCACAAAGCTGTCGATTCGCCAACACAGATCAGAGAATCAAACAGTTCAAACACAGGAGATTCAATGATTAAAAAAAACACATACACTGCAACAAATGGATTTCAGACGTATTGTACTTGTTTAGAGAAAGGGGAAACAGGAGCACCTGGAGAAAACCTACAGACACAGGAAGAACATGCAAACACACAGAAAAGCCCTGTCTGGAGATGGAATTGAACCCATGCTGTCTTGTAATGAAGTTAAGCTCTAACCCCTCTGCTGCCCATTTTAGTTATTGTTTATGTTAAAAGAATGGAGGAATGTGTTTCCAATAAATGTAAAGATTAATTATTAATTAAGAGAGATAATGAAAGACTATTCTCACATTTTTAAACTAAATTCTTAAAAATACAAATAAGAGATCCTTTCTTTGTCCCACAGTGGGGAAATGTCAGTGCTGCATGACTGTCTTAAAACAAGATTTGCCAATTGGACAAAGCTTTAGTCTTCTTTTATGAACTTTTGCTTTATTTTCTTATTCCAAGGGAGACATATTTAGTATTTAAAAGAAAATAAAACAAGATCAGCAGCAAAGAAAATGTTGACTTAATTTTCATCACCTTTTACAGTGCATTTACAGAACAGTACGAGATAAATAGACACTACTAATAGGCTACACTTAAAATAATGCAGAAAAGAAAATCAGGAAATTCAAGTAAATAAATTCACACAACTGAGCAATGGTGAAGGAGGAAGTCTAAAGGTGTTAAAAAGGGGAAGATGGGAAAAAGCCGCACTTGGCCCAGGTCTGCTGTAGACAACCTCATCATCACATCACTGGACATTAACCTGCGATCCACCTGTTCAACTACTCTCCCCAATAGCGAGAACCATCGTATTGTACATTCTCTAATTTGATTTTGTGTTTCCAAATTGGATTGAAACCCGAGTCTCTGTGGGAGGTTGTTTGCAATAAAGGGATGAATCACCCGTTGATGAGTCTGAATTGTGGAGAATAATTAGACAACAATAAACAGGGTGATGGTGATGAGGAAGAGGCTTTGGACGCGTTCGCAGTCGACTGAATGAGGGATGTTAAAATGGAGGCGGAGACCGTGTGGAGGAGTGAAGAAGAGACGAGCCATCGCCGAAGACACGCTGGCACTGGACCGAGAGGAATCACAAAAATCACCATCCAGAAGTGTCTGCAAGCAAATTTAGTCCCATTTGGAATGTTCAAAAATGACTTCTTATTCAATGTAATAACGTCGCTGTCTTACAATTACTGGCATACTTATTTACTGGTATAGAAGAACCAAAACACTGCATTCTACTAAGACGACAAGAAGAACCTCACTAAACTACACTGCAAAAAGTGATGAAAATGTGGCTAAATGTATCTTAATTTGAGCACATGTTGACTGCCTTAAAACGAATGAGAAAAAAAGTGGCTTTGTCCCATTGGCCAATCTTGTTTTAAGACAGTCAGAATGTACTCAAACTAAGATTAAATAAATATCAGTTGTTAATGAGTTGGTAATATTTAGCTGATTATTTGTAAATGTATAATAGACATTTGTTCAAGTGTAAGTACTTAAGTTATTCAATGATTACTTAATATTCATAATCAAACATTAGTATAAGGTGTTTGTGTACAGCAGTCGTCTTGGAGGACTTTACAAAACAGATCAGAGAATCAAATATTTCGAACACAGGACATGCAATAATAACAAACACAATCAGATATTGGTGCTTAGAGAGCGAGATAACCGCTGTCCAGAAATGTTCATAAATGTCCTTGATCGTCCTTAGACCCTCCTGCATCGACAAGGACCACTCAAACAAACCCCACACAAGGTAAAACCGGTGTGATTTTTTTGTTATTTTTTATTAAATCTTTATTTGAATTGGGACAGTGCACATTAATCAACATGTGTTTTTCAAAATATAAATGCAGAATTAGCCATGTAGGATAATTTTCACCCGCAGTCCCATGGCAGGTTAATATTGAAACAGATAACATACACCTACAATAGGCACAAACACACGGTCACACACCATCACAAAGACATTACAAAACAGGGTGTGTAATATGTGGTAAAATAGGTATTAGCATAGATAAAAGATAAGAGGGACAATACACAAAACACCACAATTTTCCACACAGCAAGGTATCAGTGGTTGTGCCTTTAGACCATGTTGTGTTCACATTTCTGATTGTCCACAAGTCACTTCTTTACAGAGTTTATAAAAGTGTGGATGGAGGTCAGGTTCCTCAGTTCTGTCAGGATCAAGTTCCAGGAGTGTGCTGCTCGAACTGAGAAGGCAGATTGTCCAAATAAAGTCTTTCTAAATGGGATTTTACAGTCTCCTCTGCTTGAGGATCGTGTGTTTGAGTTTACATTCAGCTGTATAAACTCCTGCAATGGAGGCGGGGCAAGTCCATCTAGAGTTTTATAGACCATAATTACGTCCGAATATGTTGTCTCATTCAAAAAATAATGTTTGGTAAAGACTTTACAATAGTGATAAGAATTGTTCTTTTTGTCTAATGTTTTTACTGTCTGCTTATAAAGTCTTTCAATGGGCAACAATAAGCTCCTATTGGCCTGAGACCAACTCGTCACACAGTAATTCATATGCGAGAGAATTGTGGCGTTTAGGTACAGTTTTGAAGCCTTAGTTAAGTTACAAACCCAACCCTCTCATTTGGTCTCTATTGTTTCTTCTAATTACAATCTCAAATTTCAAAGGGAAATACACTTTTATGTTTAAAAAGTAGCGAGCGGGCTTTGATGCTAACGGAGTTAAGCTAGCGGCTTTTTGTGTAACGTTCTTCGCCAAGAATGCAGCTCTGCAGCGTCTCTTTGTCCAGAGACCTTCCAGAGACTTTATATAACAGCAGTATGTGTTCAAAGAGGTGTGCCATAAGTTTATTTTATTATTAAACTGTTCTTGCGCATCGGCAAACACGCTAACGCTAGCTGCACTAGTTTAGTCACTACTAGAGCCTGAATGAGAACTCAGGCTGGCATAGGTTCACAACTACCGTGTTCCCCATTGTCAATCCTGGTTTAGTCCAGATTTAGGTCCTGTTTTGGCTGTATTTTGTATTTTTGAGTTATTCAAGTTATTTTTAGTTATTTCAGTCTGCTTGCTAGACCGCTAATGTTCCCGCGAACACTTTGGGGCTCTCTGACCTGAGAGAGAGGGAGAGGGAGAGAGAGAGGGGAGAAAAACATATCGCGGCCAGAAAAATTAATAATCACTCATTATAATTATCATGCGATTAATTGATTAATTGAATAACGCAACAGGAATAGTAGTTGTGTGCTGTCATAGATGCTGTGATGGACTACTACTACTACAACTGCTCCCTTCAAACAAAAGAAATCCTGAGAAGAGACGAGAGAGACCAGAGAGGGACCAGGGACAGATCAGAGAGAGACCAGAGGGAAACCAGTTAAATAAGCAAAAGTGAAATAAGTCAATCTTGTTGTAAGACTCAGAATGTACTCAAACTTAGATAAAAACCACTCTATTGAAGCATTATTACCTCACATTCCAACATATTTTTCAGCTCTAAACAGATTCTGGATCTGAACAGACTTGGAACCAGAATCAGTCTGTAAAGCTTTCTTACATTGATCGGTTCGTGCTCACACATAAAGACCCCATACAAAACTACTCTGACGTTTATTACAAGAAACACAAGTCTGTTTCCGCAGTCTCTAATATCTCTTTGATATGAGACCTTTCCTTTAGAGCTGCCTGGAAGTGGAGCAGAAACAGAACACACCTTTACAGATCAAATGTAGTAAAGTGCTAAAGTTTGATGTGTCATGATATGTCATGGCATTGTCTTCCCCTTATTAATCAATTTCTGGGTCGGGGGAATGGCAATCAGAGCATCAGAGTCTCATAGCACCAGTCCCTTGCTGATCCTCCTGCAGGAGGTGGGTCCACAGCAGTGGCGGCTGGTGATAAACATTTTGGGGGGGGGCGCACTGGCAACAATAAACTACTTGCTGTCACGGTGTTGTGTCGATGTGGACCCAAAGGCAGGGAGGAATGGAAGGAGGCAGACAGGTGAAAGGTTAACAGATTTAGTGATGGATAAACTATTTACAAAAATAAACTATTTACAACAACAAACTATTTACAACAATAAACTATAACATTAAACTACTAGAAACAATAAACTATTTACAATAAAACTATTTATAACATTAAGCTATTTATAACATTAAACTACTAGCAACAATAAATCTATTTACAATAAATCTATTTATAACAATAAACTATTTATAACAATAAACCATTTATAACATTAAACTACTAGCAACAATAAACTATTTACAACAACAAACTATTTACAACAACAAACTACTTGAACATAAATTTTGCTCTCCTCTCTTTCAGGCTAGCAAATCTTTCAATGACTCTCTGATTGAAATTGGTCATTTGACAGATTAGTCTCTTTTCCATTGAGAGCATGGCCAGGGCATTCAGCCTTTCCTGGGTCATGGTGTTTCTCAGAAAAGTTTTCACCCTTTTTAAGGTTGAGAAGCACCTCTCTGCTTCAGCTGTGGTCATAGGTGTGGTAATAAGGATCTTTAAAAGAGTGACCGTTTCTGAAAAAACATCTTTAAGATTGTTCTCCATGAACAGCTGGAACAGGTCCACTGCACCACAACAGGCTCTGAACTCTGCTTTGCTGTAGATGAGACTGAGCTCTGTCTTGAGCTTGCTTCCATTCAGCATTGGGTAGGCCTTCAAAGTGCTTTGCAGCACCTCTTCGGGAAATGACCCGTGATGTTCCTCAAACTTGTCCCCCTGCAACAAGGTGGCACAGACAAGATGGTCGGTGAAGTTGAAGCGCTCCCTGGTGTGTCTCAGAATGGTGTTGCAGATCTACAGAGAGAATACAAAAACAGAGAGAAAAAATAGATATTAAATTAATTTACTTTTGTTGACATTGTTACCCTCTGTTGCTGCATGGTTTTGAAAAAACCTCTTGCTATTATTGACAACTGCAATTGTGATATGATTTTTAATATTTTCATTAAACATTTAGGTTAATTGTGATTAGGAGATGAACTAAATCATCTCTGTAACATGACATATTTAAAATGGTATTTAAATAGCTATTTCATAAACTATGAAAGATTTCTACAACATAAACTCACCTCTTCTGCAGCACTCTGACGATCCTCGGAACTGAGTACCCGACGCCGTTTTGCTGTCAGAGAGCCACTGCTTTGCTCACTCATGGAATGGAGAGAATTTCTGTGAAGAAGAAGTCATAATAATGATCAAAAAGAGATAACAATTAAAAATGTGATGATTATATTGTTGACATATTACCTGATGTTTTGTATGTCCTGCGAACTGCTGGATGCTCCTTTTGATGTGGACTGCATCTATGTTCTTCTTCTGGAGCTTGGCATAGAGGAGGTCCACAAGTGGCATGATGTGGTGAAAAAGTTCCAGGAAGAACTTAAAGTCCTGATGTTTCAGCAGCATGGCCATGGCTCCTGCCTCTCTGATGGTGTTGGAGTCAAATTCACCCGAATCTCGTATGTTCTCAAAACATTGAATGAGATCATCTCTCTGCTCAAACACAGTGTTGATGGCTCGGCTGTGAAAGTTCCATCGGACATTGCTGGATGTTGGCAGTCTACGGGCCACCGTTTTATCAAGGACAGCCGTACGCTTGGGTCCTGGAAAAAAAGCTTGCAAATCCACCCAGGTCAGAAAAAAAAATTCTCACCTTGGAAATGTGAGAGGTGGCCTGTTGCATGATCAGGTTGAGTTGGTGTGCATAGCAGTGGATATAATGGGCATTTGGGTACACATCTTTGATCTTCCTCTGAACACCTGCATTGGCACCCCTCATCACACTGGCTCCATCATACGCCTGGCAGATTAGCTTGCGTGGAGATGATTGTGGACTTCAGGAAGAGCACTGTCCCCCCACCCCCACCCTCCGTGATGGACTCCCCCATCACCTCTGTGGAGTCCTTCCGTTTCCTGGGCACCACCATCACCCAGGACCTCAAGTGGGAGCCGACCATCAGCTCCCTCATCAAGAAGGCCCAGCAGAGGATGTACTTCCTGCGGCAGCTCAGGAAAGCCAAGCTGCCTGCACAGATGTTGGTGCAGTTCTACACGGCCATCATCGAGTCCATCCTCACCTCCTCCATCACCGTGTGGTTCGCTGGAGCCACAGTCACGGACAAACAGACTAGACTACAGCGCATTGTGCGCTCTGCAGAGGAAGTGATCGTCCGCAGCCTTCCATCGCTGCAGGACCTGTACGTCGCCCGAGCTCGAGGCCGGGCTGGTCGTATCACAGCCAACCCCTCTCACCCTGCACATGGACTATTCCAACCACTCCCCTCAGGCAGGAGGCTGCAGTCCATCAGGACTAGAACCTCCCGCCACAAGAACAGTTTCTTCCCCTCTGCTGTTGGACTCTTGAACACTTCTTAACCTGTCCCCCCGCCCTTTATAAAGTCACTTTACTGCCCATCATACGTCACTTTACTTCACTGTACTGCTGTCACCTTACATTGTGTGCACCATGTGCACTTGTATATTGTAAATAGTAACTGTAACTCTATTTTAAATTTAAATTTATTCTTTAGAAGTGTTTTTTATTCTTATTTTTATTATCTCTTTTTGACTGTTGCACTGAGCCAAAGCAATTTCCTAGTCTGTGACCTCCTGTTACTTACGTGGCAATAAAAATTATTCTGATTCTGATTCTGATTTTCTGATCCTCAGGAATGATGGCAGCAAGACGCTCTGATAATGCAGCAGCAATGGACTCAGATGTAGCTGACTGCAGAGGAACTCAAAAAATCTTTCCTGCACACTGTGCTTGTCATCAATGTAGCGTAGTACAAGCACAAGTTGGGACTGTGTTGAAATATCTGTTGTCTCATCTGCCTGGATTGATACAAAAACACTCTTTTGAGCTTCTTCAATGATTTGCTCTCTTGCAACAGACAACATACAGTCCAAGAGTTCATTTTGGACAGTTTTGGAAGTACCCTTGAAAACAGTGGCAGTCTCAAGGTGCTCTTTCAAAGCTACATCCAGAGAGGCAACAAAATCGACCAATCCACGAAATATCCCAGGGTTCACAGAGCTCTCACTCTCATCGTGGCCACATAAAGCCAACTCAAAGGCCCCACAGAATTTCACACAGTCGATTATCCTGGACAGAACATGACGATTTTTTGTCACCTCTTCGTTGTGCCTTCTAATGCCAACTCTGTAGCCCTCGTCTAATTGTTCAGCAATGCTAACGCGGCCAAAAAACTGTAGCTTCATACCGTTGTCAATGTGGCAATGGCTACTTTCATGCCGTTTGCATTTTTCAGAGAGATGTTTCAGGTCTCTGACCCCTGTTGTTGTCCACAACACTTCCGTGCCAACACTTTGAAAAAGCAAGCAGGGAAAGCAAAAAAGAGCATTGCTTACTTCGCATCCAGCGAGCCAACTGTGTTTAGCATAACACAGACCGGAGAAGCCTCGGGTGTAACTTCGCCCACGGTCACTTGCCTGCTGCTGGATCTGTAAGCCGGGTTTCTCCGGTCCAAGCTCCTTAATCCTTTTTTTTTCCTCCAGCGAACGTCTCGTAAAAGGATTGAGTTGTAAAGAAACAACTGAATTTTCTTTGGCCATGTCTGCTGTTTTGTTGTACGTCTGTCTCGCTTCTTTTCCTCCGTAAACCCGCGCGCGGGAGTGTCTATGTTGGAGTGACAAGCGCGTTGCCAGTGACTTTGACTGACAGCCAGGTATCATGAATCAATCAGATTGCAAGAAAAATTAGCCAAGCGCGCTGATTCGCCAGGGACGCAGCTCTCTGAGCCCCGAGGAGAATCTTTAAGTGACCAATTAGAGACCAGCATGAAGTCACATGGTAGCCGCAAGTTTGGAAGACACGTACACACTCATTTGACATTATCAACCCGACAGACCAGTGTAAGAGTGTAGAGTGGCCACAGGACGCGTCATCAGCCTACGTCAGCAGCCGCAGACTGCTATGAAAACATTAGCTTTGTGGTTTCACAGGCGCAGTTGACTGCTTAAACTAAACTTTGCACAAAACTTTGACTCTTAAAACCCACATGTGACAAAACGGAACCATCAACATCTCGCCTCAAATTGCATTAAAAGTGACATTCGTGTCTTAATTCGTTCGTATTTCAACTTTTAGCAATTCACGGTCCGCCATCTTGGTATGCTTCGGCTGCCGTGAGACGCGCATGCGTAGGTTTGCATTACATCATAAACAGCTGAGGCAGTGCATCTCTTCAAGACAGTGTATCTCGGCGTTACACCGGCGCCCCTTGATATTAAAAACTAATAAAACAACCCAAAATAAATCCGATATGGAATGGAAAGGCTTACAAGTAAGAACCATTGTATGAGTGAACACTGAACAGATGTGGTAATGACTTTAGGTCTAAAGACCAGTCCTCTACCAACTAGAGCACTGGTACTAAGTTACTATGGTTACTATGGAAACGCTGTCTGTTAGTAATCTTGTTGCTGTGATACTTGGTTACCATGGCGATGATGTCATAATGCTAATGACATCACCACAATCTTAAGGTATTGTGGGGTGCTTGTGCCTGCGGACCATTGCTTTGCAAAAACACAACACAGGACGACTCATAAATTACTCCAGCTTCAAAATGGAGACCAGGAGAAAAGTGAGAAGGATCATAAAACAGGAAAATGAGGACTCTCGCCTCGCTGAGAACATAATACGTGAGCATGTAGAGAAGCAGAGGCTGCGATTGCAGCAGGAGGAACTGGCTCAGAGAGAGGCTAAGGCCAGAGACAAGTTAAGCGCTGGGGTGAAGCGTGAACTCAAGCAGAAGAGAGAGCAGCAACTTCTGCAGATCCATCTGGTGCGAGAACAGATGAAGACACACCACCAATGTGGGCAGGAGTCAGAGCGCAGGAAGGCCCAGCGAAGGTGGCGGCGTACGGAAAAGTGTTCACAGAACAATAAACGCCTTCTGGAGGAACGGGATAAAAGTCAGGAGCAGGAGGAAAGAGAGACCCAGAAGAAAACAGAACAGGAAGAGTACGAAGGCTGAGTGGGCGGCACGGTGGCTGAGTGGATAGCACTCTCGCCTCTCAGCAAGAAGGTCCTGGGTTCGAATCCCGGTTGGACCAGGGCCTTTCTGAGTGGAGTTTGCATGTTCTCCCCGTGTCTGCGTAGGTTTCCTCCGGGTGCTCCGGTTTCCCCTACCACTAAAAATATGTACAATAGGTATGGCATGTGCCTCCTGTACTGGCACCCCCACCCAACAATTGTGCTGCAATGTGCAGTGAAAAGGCGGTATATATAAATAAACCTTACCTAAACCTTACGAAGAGCAAGTGGAGATGGCCATCCATAGAGCTTCCATGGAAAACCGTATCGCTCTTCCTCTGGGCCAAAGAAACGGTGAAGTCGATAACCGTCTTCACTTTTACAAGGACGGACAAGGCTTCATAGTAAACTCCAAGAGGAAGTTTGAGCTTCATCAGTCTTTAATTTTGACCGATGAGACGCCCAAAAAACAGGTGACAGTACCTCAAGGCAACACCGCTCCAAAACCAAAGAGTGTGAAACAAGTAAGAGTACAGGAGCAGAAACAGCCATCCCCCAGTGTTTGCCGAGGGTTAGGGTTAGGGCCAGTCGAGAAATTGGACCAACCCTCACCAAAGTTGTTGGCCAAGAGAGAATCTAGGGGATCAGCTCTTCCTATGAGGTCCATTTTACGAAACAGTGTGGTCCTGACAGAAGATTGTTCTAAGCCTGCTCTGGAACATAAGTGTGAGGAATTGAAATTACCTCTAATTAGTAATCCAAAAAAGAAGCATAATGAGCATAATCCCAGTTCAGGCACCAACAGGTGAAACCAAGTCTGAGAGAGTCCTGTCTTCCTGTCCCTCGGAGGACTTTCCACGGATCTATAATAATAACTGGATAGGGTACTGCAGACTAAATTCACGAGGGCTACCAAGAAAATAGTCCCACTCGACCTCAGCTTACAGAGAACCTACAGCTTTCAGAAAGATCGTATTTTGTGGGGATTTTTGTGTACCTTGTCATCCTGAACTTTTTTTCTTCTTTAATCTGTGGCTTTACTGCCACAAACTCTGCTCCTTTCCTTCCCGCTCTGGCTCCGCTCTGATTGGTCAGAGCGCAGCCGAGCCCCTCTGTGCGCGTGCATGAGAGCCCATGTGAGACCCACACAACATGCGTATTTGGCGCGACACATGGGAAATAATCCACTGCGCAGAACCGGGAGGACCAGACGATGCCCAAATATAGCCGAGTTCAGCTAATCTCCCGGTCCCTGTGAAGTCCCATGCGATACTGAGCACAAGCCATTCATTTGAATAGGGTGCCATCTTATATCACCGGGGCTCGGGACTTTCGCACCGCTGCGTGACGTCATCTGCAACCCAGCAATACAGCCGAAATCCGCTTGCCGCTAGCTTGCCAAGGCTAGCTGCTAAGCTAGCAGCAAATGCTTTCGAGCTGCAGACTTGGTTGTCTGCTGTTTTTCTTAATGTAAATTAAAACTGTGGGCATCGGTTTCCCCGGGATTGGGTCCTATGGTATGAGTACGAGTACGAGTTCAAGCCTATGGTATCAATACTAGTATCGGTGCATCCCCACCTGTAACATGTGACCTCTCCAAGTACCTCTGTTACATGTTAGTGCCATATGAACTAACTTGGATTCTGAGGAACACAGGGTCTGGCCCAAGCCCCGGCGATCCAAGATGGTGCAGTATTCAAATGAATGGTTGTGCTCAGTGGCGCTTTGTGCCGGCATGGGGGCGGAAAGATTAGCGGAAGTCGCCTGGAACTCGCAAAGATCCATGGGAAACTTGCCTGTATTTGGGCATCGTCTGGTCCTCCCGGTTCTGCGCAGTGGATGAACTCCAGTGATGCGTTGCACAAATACGCGTGTGGGTCTCACGCACGTGCACAGAGGGGCTCGGCCGCGCTTTCACCAATCGCGGGAGTTAAAGCGAGAGCCAGACGAGCAGAGTTTGTGGTAGTAAAGTGTGGATTTAAAGAAAACCGAAGGATTTAAGAAAAAAAAGTTCAGGATGACAAGGGACAATAAAATCCCCACAAAATCCGATCTTTATTAAAGCTGTAGGTTCTCTGTCAGCTGAGGTCGAGCTGTTTTAATATGCATTGAGTTCTATGGGGAAAATTTCTGGGTAGCCCACGTGAATTTAGTCTGGTTTAGTCTGCAGTACCAGCTCCAGAGTATCAGCTCCAAGCTAGTAATACCCTATCCAGTTATTATAATAGATCCATGGACTGGCCTCCTGCTGGCCCAGGCTTCTCATTTCCCCTACGCTCTCATTCCACGGAGCCATCTAGTTTTATTTGTTATCTGATACGTGTAGCGTGAGCGGTGGGAGAATTATAGAGTGGCAAATTTAGAATCAGCAACGCCACCCAGGTCTAGTACCTGGGAAAATATAATTAACTTGAATAGAGCACACAGGGAAGTTTTACTGAGGAGGCAGAGACAGTCCCATTCAATAGTACAAAAGTTTTATTTTAAATTTAACAATTAAAAGACCTGAGTCATAGCTAATAAAAAAAAAAAAAACTACACACGCTAAAGAAATTCGGGGCTGAGGCCTAACCGTGAGTGGAGAACTAAAAGGGCGGAGGCTAAAATAATAATAAAATAAACACCACAAACAAAATGTGCAAACCAAACCCAAACAGGAACCACCACCAGAGAAATCCACCACCACGGTGTCGGACCTTCGCAATACAGAGATGTTACATACATACACACACTAAAAAAATGAAAATAAAATATAAAAATACAACATTTTATGTTTTTTTTTTAACATGTATGTTTAAGCTATATGCTAAAGACTTTGTATAGCTTGATAATGGTGGGTAGATCTAAAGTGTAATAACATATACGTTTCTCCTCCGTCCATCTGAAGGTGAGAAGTAATAATGAAACCGTTTGACAACTTTAATAAAATAAAGTTTGACACACTTCTCATTCAAAGATTTGTTTTTTATTTCATAGTGCATGATTCACTATGAAAATTGTAGATTCACACTGAAGGCAACTACACTATGTATTAACGCATGTGGAATTAGTATGTACTTAATAAAAAAGTATGAAACAACTGAAAATATGTCTTATAAGTTCTAAGTTCTTCAAAGTATACCTGATTACCTGGGCCTCCTGCGGACTTTGAAAAACTTCCACAGCCCGGCGGAAAGACTGTGTGCTCGACATGGGTCGAAGGACTGTTACCGGAGGAGGCGTTAAAGGCAGAGGAACGCTCAAGCTAACACGGGGCCAGAGGACGGCAGAGGCGGGCACGGAGGAAACACGAGCGACTGACCAAACCTGGGTTCACATTCGTCACCAAAGCGACCGCTCATGTAAGTTGAACAACAACAAATTGCAATTGGCACTTTTTAGAGATAATTCATGCCCGTAATATACGCTAACAACCTGTGGTGTACAAGTTAAAATTCTGGATGACTCCGGGGCAACAAATTCTGTGCTAAAAGTGACAGCCTTTCTGTCTCCCCTAAAATGAGCGGCCGCTTCATACTCTAATTAGCAGCGTCGGAGAGACGACTAAAGAGCAATTTACGTCACCGCTAACGTGTTTTGATTCTCAGGGCAACCAGCTTAAACATTCTTTTCTATATTCCCCATTGTGCCCGGTTAACCTACTAGGCCGAGACCTTATGTGCAGACTCAATTAAAAATAGATAAATAAAAGGAGGCACCGGTCCCAAAAGTTAACTACCACTGGAAATTGACACCAAACCCTGAGATTGCTAAGTTATTAGCCACAACAAGTGGATAGTGACGCCCGCACAAAATTTGGAGGTCAACCACGCGAACGACCTAAGCTGCTCTCTCCGGTCGGTCCCAGACAATAACTTGGAGTTTGAAAATTCATGCAGTGTAGGGAAGATAGGCTAACGGAGTACGTTTATTGAGATAGGCACCACTATCTGTGCTACTTAATGAGCAACAAAAACATTTTATCGTGAAACAAAGGTGAAGTATTAAAGTTTGAGACTAATTTACATTTTTAATGAATCCGACCTGGCTTTATTGAAAAAGAAAAAAAATAAGGAAAATAAACATTTTTTTTAGGTGACAAGAGCTCATTAGAGATATAGGGGACACAATCTGTGATAAGCCCGAAGTATAGACCACGTGGTAAACACTAAAGTTGGAAATGGATCCTTTTAGGAAAACTCTTTTAAAGCTCTACAGGCTCTGAAAGTTGCAACAATAAGAAATAGCTCATGAGACAATTGGAATTGGACATGGAAAAATATAACAAAGTTAAAAGTACAGGCCTTCTGTGTTGTTATATGTTTGTGTGTGTTATATGTTTTGTGCATGTTATATGTTTGTGTGTCATGTCAAAGTACACTACGCTGACCTTAACAAACTGGACCAAAATACTAACGTGGGAAATCGGCCTGTGATGTGACTGTGATGTGACTGTGATATGACTGTGATATGAGTGTGATGTGTGAAATGAGGAATGCTGAACGGAATCATGGAATAACAAATGTGTCTGTAATGTTTTAATGTGATCATGGAATAATTATTTTTTGTCAACAGCATACGGTGTAAGTACTAGAGATTCAAAGATAACAAGCTTTATTGAACAGGTGTAAACGTGAGAGTACTCTGGGATGAGTACTCTGAGAAAAGTACTCTGCTGAAAGTACTCGGAGATGAAATACCTCGCTGAAGATATTGGGAGTTCCTGCCTCTGCTGTTTGTCCTGACAGCGACACAGTCCAACCGCAGTGAGCTGTCGTTGGTTGAAGGACAACTTGGTTTGTAAACTCACATTTAGGGAAGTATAAAATTAGAAACATACATTTTGTTAAGTCTGTATTTTGCTACAGCCTCCGCCCTGATGCCAAACACCGTCTGTCAATGCAGTTATGTTTTGCCCAATTGGAAAAAGATTGACAAGCGAAAGTGGGCATTTTTTTGTGTTTTTTGTGTTCTAATATTTCTTTTTCAGATGAGAGATAAACTACCCCTGCTTCAGGGATGACAGTAGTATGGATCATGAGGAAATGAGCCTCTACCTTGGCACCAAAGCCCACAATATGAATTGAGGACGATCCGGGAGAAAGCAACTGGAGATGAACGGAACAGTCGGTACTTTTGCAGTCTCACGGAGGGCCACTGAGACCCACTGCTTACTTCTCAGCAAAACTCGATCCCGTGGCAGCAGGGTTGCCTCGCTGCCTGCGGGCTGTGGCTGCCGCTGAGAAAGCGGCCCTAGCATCACGTGACCTTGTGGGATACACTGAACTAACTTTGCTTGTGCCCCATGCTGTTTCCCTGATCCTGTTAGAGCAGAGGGCCTCTCACCTTTCTGCGGCTCGTTGGCTGGGGTACAAAGGGGAGGCACGCTGCTGTATCGCCACAATAGAGCAGAGATGCACTCCCAGGCCAGACCTGAAAGAGGTGCCTCTGACTAATCCTGACTTGATTTTTTTTATACAGACGGAGCCGCGTCACGTGACAACACTGGGAAGAACCGAGTCGGCTATGCTGTGTGTTCTGATTTTGATACTATAGACTCTGGTAGTTTGCCCCACTACCACTCAGCACAAACCGCTGAGCTGGTCGCGCCCACCGGGGCTTGTGAGCTGGCAGCGGGCAAAACTGTTAACATATTATGTGATACGCGCTATGGTTTCTCTGTGGTGCACGACTGGGAAGCACTGTGGAAACACCGCAATTTTATGAAATCTGATGGTAAACCAATTCTTAATTCCACACAGGTTGAACGTCTGCTGAAAGCTGTAATGTTGCCCTTAGAGATCGCTGTATGCAAATGCCAGGCCCACACTAATGCCACTGATCCCATCTCTGCAGGGAATCGGCGCGCGGACAAGGCAGCGGCATACGCACCTCTACACACACACACACACTACCTCACTCAAGACGTTGATATTTTCTACTCCAGCAGAGACGCTGCCGTAAGAGGGGAATGGGGCTCAACGACGGCATGGTGTGTGTGGCTGGGACCAGACAGCAAACCGTGCCTACCACGGCATTTCTTCAGACAGTTTGCAATTTTAGCACATGGTCGAGACCATGCCTCAAAAGGAGGGATGATGTGTGATTTAATCACACAAAATTGGTATACAAAGGGGTTTACGGCATTTGCACAGAGATTCAGCCAAACATGCGCTATATGCCCCGCGCACAACCCAGGTAAGTCCCAAAAGTATCCAACAGGCTGCTCATCCTCCGCCCCTGCGCCCATTTCAACATGTCCAAAGGGACTTTGTTGAACTCACACCATGCCAAGGTAAGTAATACTGTCTGGGTCTGGCGGATCTCTGGTCCAAATGGACTGAAGTATTTGCAGGCATACACGCCACGAGCAACGCGGTGGTGAGTCACTTTGTAGCAAAAGTCATTGAGGAAGTGGGTGAATTTCTGGGCATTGATATACGTAAACACTGCAGTTACGCCCCCTGGTCCGGAGGCACGTGCGAGCGAGAGAATGGCACTCAAAGCTCTGCCGCTAGCCCCACGTTGGGCGCGGGACCCCCGAACAGAGATCTGCCAAGCACCTCTTTGTGTGACGACGACATGCTGTCCTATTGTAAGGTAATTAATGCACTTTTGTCCTCTATTTCTGCCCAGGTCAGGAGCGCCCTGCCACAGGCTGCGCAGGCGGCTCTGCACAGGATCAAGCCAGGCGACTGAGTCCTGGTGAAGGAAACGAGACGACAACATTGGCGGTCCAAGCGCTGGCTCGGTCCATTCCTCGCCCTCCTGGTGACGGACACTGCCGTTAAGGTCGCGGAGAGGACAACTTGGATCCACGCCAACCACTGTCGTGCGGTGCTGCCACTGAGGGCCATAGACAAGGACACCGAGGGCGCGGACGGACCAGGCCCATCCGCGGCTCCCTACGCTGAATAGGTCTGCCGGCGTGCGACCACCATCGGTGAAGCAGGCCAACAACAACACCCAGAGATTCCCAGCGTTCCCGAGGCGACCCCCCTTTGCCCAACTCCCCAGCCCCCGGACCCCAAGGCCTGGGAGCCATGAAGGCCCTGAGGGCTCTGCTCAGCCGCAGCAAGTATGCAGAGCTGCTGCGCATTCCAAAGATTTCTCCAGAGCCTGCTCCCTCTGGCCATAATGCAGATTGGAGCTCTGCTGGAGTGCCCCCTGGTGTCTCGTCTCCCGTGTGTCCGGAGGAGGTGGAGATGAGGGCTGCTCTACAGTTCCTGATGAGGCACATGGTGAAGCGTGCTGTCATGAGGTCTCCCATCAAACGAGCTTTGGGCCTGGCCGATCTGGAGCGTGCTCAAGCCATGGTCGCCACACCCCAAACCCCGAGCACTCTGCCCAACCGAGTGCTGAGGCCAAGGCTTCAACGCAAATAGAGTCTTGCCGCTCCAAGACCAAACATCGCCATGACCACTAACGCTCCACACACGCTCATAGGGAGCGGTGCCACTGACTGCGAGACGGCACTGCTCGTGAGTATTCCCGCGGAAAAGACTACCGAACGTAGACCGGCATGGGCCCTTGGACTGTTATGCTGGCCACACTGACACTACTTTCCGTGCTGACCGTGTTTATTATGTTAATATTGCCTTCTCTTATCGCTGTCCGGATCCATTGTGTTATTATAATGTGCTCTTTCTTTTATTGACAAGCATGTGTCTTTTCTTGTCCACTTTGGACAGCAATAATTTAAGTGTTTCAAGCTTGAAGGTGGTGTGATTACGATGCCTCTGGTATTTAACTGATTAATGCAAAAATGGTTTTGAATTATCAAAAGAGGGGAGTGTGGTGACAGTACATAAAACCAGCCGCAGCAAATACACGGACGTCAAAGGCCTTTTATCAATGCAGACGACCTTCTGACGCCATGCTGAGCTTTGTGAAGGTCCCTGCTGTCTGTCACACCCTTGTGTCTTTCCGTCTTGCATCTGTATGACCTGCATTTCCACCATTGTCTGTCTGTTCACACCCCATGCCACTGCCACCACAGGGGATGGCGCCGGCGCTTCCTGTGCGCCTCCTCACCGGTGGCCCCCTCCGCTCCGTTGTGGGCGTGACTATCTTTGGTGTGTGTCTTGTATACAGGAAGCTGGGGGCTCTGGACGAAAGAAGAGGACGACGCCCAAGAAGCCGCACGGCACACGTTATCGACCGAAGCCCCCCTGAGGAGGCCCGTAGATGCCGCCACCCCACGCGTGCAGTGCGACCTGAAGCCCACCGGGGGGGCCAGACCCTGAGCCTGATACGCCCGCCGCACAGCCGTGACGACCCAGTGCGCCAGCCGCTGAGCCGACAGCGGGGCGCCCCTGTTCTTGGGGCCCAGACACACAAACAGCTGATCAACCAACCTGAATGAAGATGTCATGGCCAGGTAACGCCTAAGCATTCTGACAGGACACAGAAGGTGCCGCCGCTCCTCCTCGGGGGAGGCATGCGGCGGCGGATGGAAGGCCCTAATCCTGATCACTCTCGACCTGAAGGCCGACGTGATGACCTTAGGGAGAAAAGCCGGATTGGGCCACAACTCCACCAGGCCGTCACCCTCTCCAAAGGACAGGCAAGACGCATGGACGGAGAGCGCACACAAGTCGCCCGCCCTCTTAGCAGACGCCAACGCCAGCAAGAGGGCAGTCTAAAAAGCAACACACTCGGGACTCGCCTCCGCCACCGGTTCAAAAGGCGGGCCCGACAGACCCCTAAGGACCACCCTGAGGTCCCAAATCGGGGGCGTTCTCTGAAGCGGGGGCCTAATCCTGCGTGCCCCCCGCAGAAAACGTTTGACCAACGGATGAGAGCGGGCTGTGAACCCCCCGAAACCGTCGTGACCCGAGGTAATGGCTGCCGCGAACACCGCCAGGGTGGCGACAGCCCTCCCTTTGTCAAATAATTCCTGCAGGAATCCCAGGACTCCCTCCAACGGGCAGCGCCTGGGATCCCAGGAGTGAGAACCGCACCAGTCTCTGAAGAGCCTCCACCTTGTGGCGTAGGCCCTCACAGTGGACGGCGCCCTCGCCCCCTGAATAGTCTCCACCACCGCCAGGGGAAGACCCAGGTCTACGAGGTTCCGCCTCTCAGCCTCCAAACCCAAAGCCTGCGGCTGATTATCGGGCGTGAAAATAGGGCTCTCCCCCCCCTGGACAAGAGCCCCCAGCTCGTCCAGGAGGGCCCAGGGCTCCATCACCGCCATGCCCCTCAGGAAGGGGAACCACCGGGCATGCGGACTGTCCGGAGCCACCAGGATCACCGACCTCCCCTTCTGTTCGATCCTCCGCAGCAGGACCGGCAGGAGACGAACTGGCGGAAAAGCATACGGTAGGCCCCCTGGCCAGGGGTAATGAGCCAGGGCGTCCACCCCTAAGGGCGGCTCGTACCCGGCCCTTAAGGCGAACCAGGACGGGCACTGTGCGTTCTCTGCACTGGCGAAAAGGTCGACCACTGGACGACCGAATCTCCGCCAGACTTCCGCAGCTATCCGTGGGGCCAGGTCCCACTCGTCCTGGAGTGGGTCCCCCCTGGACATCCTGTCGGCCCCCACGTTCCGGGCACCCGGGACGTGGCGCGCCCTCAGGGACAGGAGGTGAAGCGCCGCCCACAGCAGCGTCACCGTCGCCATGCGATGGAGGGCGGGGTTATCTGGTGCCCCCCTGCCTGTTCAGATAAGACACCACCGTGGTGTTGTCTGAGCGAACCATCACGTGTCTCCCCTTCAGCTGAGGAGCAAAGTGCAGCAGTACCCTGTGTACTGCCTCCATCTCCAGAAGGTTGATGTGGCGGGCTGAGTCCGACCAGCAGCCTCCTACAGAGCTCTGGGCGAGGACCCCGACCCAACCCTCGAGTGACGCGTCCGTGAACCCCTCCACGTGAGACACGGCGCAGGCCAGAGTCACTCCGTCCCGCAATAGACCCGGAGTGAGCCAGAACTTGATGTCCGATGCTGCCATTTGGGGAACCCAGATCAGCCTCCCCCCGTCCCGGGAGGGGTGAAACCTGAGGCGTGAAAACCATCTCTGAAAATTCCTCATGTGGAGAAGGCCTAGCCGCACCACAGCATGAGCCGCCGCCATCATCCCCAGCAGGGACCTGAGGCGCCGAGCGGGGACCCTGGGGCCCGCCATAACCTCCCTGGCTAAACGGGTAATCTTCCTCCGTCTGTCCTCGGACAATGCAGCACGGAACGTCACAGAGTCTAGCTGCAGGCCGATATAGATCATGCGCTGAGCCGGTTGCAGCCTGCTCTTCTCCCTGTTCACCACAAAGCCCAGAGGCTGTATGTGGGAAAGGACCCAGTGCGTGTGACTCACGGCCACTTCCCTGGATGAGGCCAGTATTAACTAATCATCTATATAGGTTAATATCCTTACCCCCGCGCGTCTGAGCGGCTCCAGTGCCGCCTCCACGCACTTTGAGAAGGTCCGAGGCGCGAGCGCGTAGCCGAAGGGGAGACGGCAGTACTCGTAACTCCTCTCTCCCACTGCGAAGCGCAGGAATTTCCTGTGTTCCGGAACTATCGGCACGTGAAAGTAAGCATCTGGCAGGTCTATGGAGGACATCCAATCTACCTGCCTGACACACTCGAGGAGCTGTTTTGTGGACAGCATCCGAAACTGCCGCTTGGAAATGCACTCGTTCAAAGTGCGCAGATCCAGAATGGGACGCACCCCGCCTGACTTCTTTGGCACTAAGAAGTAAGGGGAGTAGAGCCCCCTGGCGGCGTCCTGTGGGTTGTTGTATTTATAAATACGTGACACACTAAAACCATGTGTTTTATGACCTATCAACCTCTGGGTGGGAGGCCAGGCCTTTTTATATATTTTAGGTGTCTTCTTGTGGGATCAACTAAACAACAGATGGTTTCTGCTGTTTGGATTTGTCCCCTAGTCTGGGCTTCTGCTGACTTCTGCACTTTTAACCTCACTCCATCAGGAGTGGGTTGACATGACTGGAGTCTGCCAGTCTACTCATTTTGTCATATGATAATACACATAACCTTTCTTAACATATATTTACTTCCTATTTTAGGTGATTTCATGTACTTAGATATTAGGATATTAGTGTGATGTGTTTGTACTGCACAATAGGTTTGTTCTTTAGGAAAGCGGGCTGTTGAGAGTAATTAGGGGAGTTGTTTAGACAGCAGAGATTGATCCCAGACTAAAAGTGACAGCTGCTTGGAGCCTTAGGTTAGGAAGCATGATTTCTGTTTTAGGTCTGGTAGACGGAGGAAAGGCCGGACCCTGGACCGGAAGCTGCCTGATACGACACGCCCCCTTCTTCCTGGACATCTGCTGATATGCTCTGGCTTGAGGCGGGGGCTCAGTCAGCACAGGGCCAGCGAGGGACATGGATAGTTTAGGAGCTCTCTTGTTGAATATATCTGATTGTAAAGATAAATTAAATACAGATGTTAAACTTGGATATCTTCATCTGTTTTCTGTATCAAACTTTGAACACGTCAGTCAAATCTTTTTTTGACAACAGGGTCCACCTCTACTGCTGCGCCTCGACTTAGCAGAGACACACGGTATGACGCAGGGGGCGGTCACGTGTCCTGCAGGCCCGACGTCATAAGTACGGGCCTGCTCATGCCATGTGACTCGACTGCTCCGCCCCCCCCTGGCTCTTGCCTCATGGAGGGGGGGCGAGCCCCTGGAGTGGGAAACCCCGTGCTTAGCCTGGTAGCTCAGAGGGGC